GGGTGGTGAGACACTGGCACAAGTTGCCCAGGGAGGCTGTGGCTGCCCCAACCCTGGCAGTGTTCACAGCCAGGTTGAATAAAACCTTCAGCAACCTGCTCTGGTGGGAGGTGTGCCTGCCCAGGGCAGGGGCTGGGACTGGAGGATCTCTGAGCTCCATTACAACCCCTGAAATTCTATGATTCCATGATCCTAGCCCAACATGCTGTGTTTTAAGCCAGGCAGTATGAATGTCATTGAGACCTTTGGGCCACTGCCCCTTTGCCATTCCCCTTTGCTCCAGGGGCTGTGTGAGAGGACATTCAAGCGGCTGTACCAGTACATGATTAACGCTGGCCTAGCCAAGGTGGTGTCCATCCCCCTGCAGGACATACACCCCAATGGAGGACCCTACAAGACAAAGAAAGGTGACTACAACCATATTGTTGCTTTCTTTTTGAATCATTACATTGATGCCATTTTATCTATTAGCTTCAAATCTGAAATGAAAAGAGGTGGAAGTGACAATCTGTCTGTGCAGTTATGTAGAGGAGTGTGTTACTAAAGCCAGAACACTGCAGCCCACTTGAATTGATCATTTGTTCCAGGTTTTTAAGAGGTGGATGCTGGTGGATTGGATATTGATGTAAACTTGTGGATTCTGACCTAATAAGACTGCTCATGACAATACAGAGAGGGACAAAGCAGTCTGCTGACCTTTCAGGGTAAAATTGAATGCCAGGTCAATAAACTTGACCCCTAAAAAAGTATCTAAAAATTATATAAACCAAAAAAGACCATTATGAAATAAGCTGAAGAAACAGACCATCTTGTTTATGGCTTTTCCTGAAAGTCACAACAATGCAAAGTGTCTCTGGAAACTTTCATATCAAATTGTGGAAGTAAGATCCACCAGCACTACCTTGGAATTCTTGAGGTAAGCAAGACACCCAACAACTACTGTCCAAAAAAGCTGCAGTCTGCTGAGGGGTGGTTTAATGCTTTGAATTCAGATGTACTTGTTTCACAAGAACTGCCGATAACTTCCAAACATGTAGTGGAAAGACAAAGAAGAGAAGAACCCTCCACAACTCCCTGACAGGAGGTTGGAGTCAGGTGGGGGTTGGTCTCTTCTCCCAGGCAACCAGCAGCAGGACAAGAGGGCACAGACTCAAGCTCTGCCATGGGAGGTTTAGGTTGGATGTTAGGAAGAGATTTTTTACAGAGAAAGTGCTCAGGCATTGGAATGTGCTGCCCAGGGAGGTGGTGGATTCACCATCCCTGAAGGTTTTCAAGCTGAGACTGGATGTGGCACTTAGTGCCATGGTCTAGTGACCACACTAGGGTTGGACTGGATGATCTTGGAGGTCTTTTCTAACCCAGTTGATTGTATGATTCTAACTGCAGGGGAAAAAAGAACAAAAGAAAGAAACTGCCCTCAGAAAAAGACGTGGATAAAACTTGCATGAGGAAAAGACTGCAAGAAGTCATAATAGAAAGCATGAGGAAGGGTAGTATCACCAAAGGAATTAATGCAATTGCTGAAGGAAATCTAAACCAAGTCTTTAATCACAGAAAATCCTAAGAGGCAGATTTGCAGGGTTAAAAAGAAAATAGTCCTAAATGATGAACAGGATGTTTTTCAGAAATATAGTGAACTGTTTGTGAAATAAAAATGAAATCTGATATGAACTAAACATTGCAAATTACACAGTCTGTGAATAGGAGTGATTTGAAAGGAGGGAGTGAAAGATACAATAAATCCTGAGAACTTTGAGAAGCCAAAAGTGAATTCCAGTTACATGGAGTTGGATTAAGGCTCTTGATAAGACAAATTCCTTTAAATCTTAT